GCGCATGCGCACTTCACACCGGAAAACTTTGCCGAAGAAACGACACATATACGCTTACATAAGCATATATAAAAATGTATTCCTTCCGAATTCCTCGCGCGGTTAGCGACCAAAAGGGCCCTTTACCGTGCCAGTTTCGGTCTTAAATAATCAATATATATTGATATGAGGCGGCGCGTATATAATAATCCACTGTTAGAGTATTTTTAAAATAACCTCAAAATTTCGTCAGAAATATCATCATGTCTACAGAAAGGGAAGAACTAGCACCGGAATGGTCCCCCGGAAAAGCCAGCCGTACATTTCACTGTCGGATAAAGCGAGCCCTGCACTTCACGGACGAAAGCAGAAACTTAAATAAGTAGTTAAAATCGGAAGCAAACCGTGCTCTCGACTAGGCGGCCGCCATATTCGACGGCCTTCACAGGGCATTTAATCGACTGCTAGAAGAGAAAGATTCACTCCACAAAAAGCTAGCAGCATCCCCGAGGACCCTGGCACCCGCGTGCCATTCCCGCCCGTGCCTCCCCTTACGATAAGTTTTTATTTACGACGAACAAAACGCATTCGTCGCGCAGTATGCAAGCAGAAAGGCCCCCTCTCCCGCATTTCTCGAGAAACCTAGCCGAACAGAGACACGCGGGCCTTAATTTCTAGTTTTCAAAAACATACCAAAGACAGACAAATAAAAAAAAAAACGATTATTCGTCTTTAATCATTCGTTTGAAATGCGAGAGACACATAAGATAGAGAAGCACGTCAGACGCGTATGTTCCTCGTAGCGGCGGTGACGTCGTCGTCTCTTTCCTCTCTACACCGCAGCGGAAAAGAAGAGGAAAAATTTATCGATAAAAAAAAATGATTATCCCAGTCGCCCGTTAAAAAAATAAAAAATAAAAACTAATTGACGACGGTAGAATCACACCCTTCTCTGCAACAGGCCACTGACGGCCCGGGCGAAACCTCAACAGGCGGCGATCTGTCGCCTGCCTCCCAATGACGGCCGTTCCACCTTCTCTCGCCACTTCGACGCCATTCTCCTCGTCCGAGCTGGAAGAAACGACCCACTCAGACACACCGGACCTTCGCTTGGACAAACAAATGTACGATTTCCAACAAAAGTGCCCAAAAACAGCCTCGCACACCTCATCGTCCGGAGCCCACTCGACTTTGCACTCTTCTCACGAAATTTACGTGTAATAGTAGTATGAATAGTGGTATGAAAGAAATTGCTAGTCGAAAGGAATCGAGAATGGTTTTAAGAAGAGCCTCCAATTTGTATAAGATCTTCAGAAATGATAAGGATAGTATCAAAGAGGATAAGAAAGCAGGGATGTATAAGATTCCTTATGAGAACTTACAACTGGGTGTTAAAAAAGATTACATCGGCGTCACCACCAGAAACTTGGGAGTAAGGCTCAAAGAACATAGATATGCCATAAGAAAAGCGTCTAATTCAACGATTTTGTCCCAAATGGCGCAGGCCCAAGGCTCTCAGGTGAAATGGGACGAGGCAACAATCATCAAACCACTGTCTTCCCCAACTGTAGCAATGACGGCGGAGAAGATTGAAATATATACTCGTAGAAGTAGGCTAGGAGAAGGCTGTTTAAATGCGAGGGATGCTGAGAGCCTGTCTTCAGCGTGAAAGTCAGTGGTTAAGAAATTTACTGGAAACTTAGACCAGAATTAGTACATTGGAAGATTTACGTTATTTTTTGTTTTATTTTAATTTTATATATACTTCCGTTATTTTTCTCTTGTAAAATTTTTTGATTTAAAATTTTTATGTTCTATTGATGGAACGTTTACGTTCCATTTTCGTTTTCGACCTGGAGATGGCCTGTTAGTTGGGCTAAAAACGTTTGTTTTTACAGTTATAAGTGCATTTCTCGGCAAAAAAGATGTTTTGTGTTTGTTTATTTAATTGCTGAGCTTTTTTGATATTGTTATATTGTACTTTTAAATTCTTATTTTGTTATTTGTACTTTGTGCTTTACTAATAGCTATATACTATATAGGAGTGATTTTTTTTATTTTATAAATTGAACCTATCAAACTTTAACAGATGTGGACAGACATATTTACTACTAATGTTATATAAGGGGAGATAAGGATGACGTTAGTTTATGGATGTAAGTGTGTGGGGGCAAATTTTTTTTAATCCAATTATTAGCTTAATAACTCGTGTGCTTTTTGTCGAAAATATATAAAAGTTTGCGGTAAGGTTTCTGTATTACGGGCATTCATGCTCCTAACTTTTAATGGTTAAGGTTCGAGCAGTGGAGAGATAGAAATGTCGTTTGTTATATCTCGAGCAGAGTCAGACTTAACGAAGATTTTATTCTGTATTAGCATTTACAATTTCTTATATAACTCCTATCTACTATCAGAATTAAGCTTATTGCTATTTTATAACAATAAGTAACATAAAAATTTTTGTAGGGAAGCTTTTTTAATTTCACGAAATAATACAACAAACTTATATTGCAAAATCTACTTGGTACTAGTTTTTGGGTATTAGTTTGCATGTTAATGACTGGCCACATGTTCTCCTAATCTTACTCTTACAGAAAACGTTTGGTGTCATATCAAGGAAAGTACATAGGAAGGAAAAGCAATACACATCACTGGAACTATTAAAAATGACAGATAATTTCACTGATGTATATTGCTTTCCAAATTTACCTCTTCTTTTCTCTGAAAGGAGAAAAAGTCTTATTACAGGTAATGAATAATTAATAAACAAAATGAACCTATTGCTTATTAATAAGAAACAAATTTTATTAATTTCTTGCCTTTGTTATATATATAACAGAGGGAATATACTGTACGACAATCGGTCAAAAAATGATCCTCAACATTTTTACATTTTTCAACTCAAAGAATTTTGAAACGTCCAGAAATACAAAAAGAAAAGAAAAAAAATGTATGTGTGAGGTTTGACGATTGGGGAGAAGTGTCGCGACAGTCGAGCGGTCTGCACTGTCGTGTGGGAGTGAAAAAACTTACTGAGACAGGTCCTCCATCCCAAAATATTTATTAAATATAAAAATTTCGCTTATAACTACTGTTTTACTTCGGCGTAAAGCCTATCCGCAGAGTGAATCAGTTCGTAAATAAAGTTAAATCTTTTCTACGACCTTCTCTCCTTTTGGCGAAGATGATGAGGAAAAGGTAGGCTCCGGGGCGCACAGCACAAATTGAAGGGGTGATTCTCGTAGCAGATTACCCTTGGCGAAACTTGCTGGGACGGGATGGCGAAAACTTCTTTCGGAACGACGACCAATTTCCCATTGTTGAATCGCAGGAAAAATCCAGAAGCGGAGCAAACCGAACTTAGAACCAAGAACGTCACATCTTATTTTTGCGCGGTTTTTATGTTTTTTCTGGGTCCCAGATCGAACATTCCGATAGGTCGAAGACGACTTCCCCCCTCCTTGTTAAGAATTGTAACGGGATCGGAGCCCAGATCGCGGGATGAGTCAACTCCGATTGACAATTTGATTCCTATCGAAGACGTTCGATCAAAGTACTCAAATTCATCCATTGTTTTGCCTGAGTAGTTCGACATTCTTACAAGTTTTTACAGATATGTCCTTATATGGACTTGAAATATTCATTTTGCGTTTGACGGTTTCTTTTTACAATAAGATTAATAATTATAAAATTGTTTTTTATACGTAATCAAAATTTATTCCGTGCACGAATTTCTAGTTTTTCTAGTTGTCTAGCAAAGAATAATAGTTCAATAATGCTCAGAATATTCTTAGTTCTGTCCAGTAAATATCTCGGAATTCAGACTCAGTGTTCTGTGTTACTGAACACGTCCCAGGTAACTTAACCAACTCGTTTAAAGAAATTTTTTTATATCAAAATCGAAACCAAATAAAAACCAAAACTTAAGTATTTAATTAAACCGGATTTAACAGTCAAAATAATCGGTCTGCATGTCATATGTGAAAATAAACACCTTCCATTAATTTAAAAATGGTTGTTATAAGGAATTAAATTAATAGGTCTTTTTATTAAACTTCAAATTTAATAATCACCGTTTTTAAAACATTATTTATTTATGTACTTAAATATATTTTTTAGAAATGTTCAATTATTTCTTTCGATTTCGATCGTATGCTTGTTTATTACCATCTGAGAAGTACGATAAGTACTTAGGCGATAATGAAAACACTTTACTATGAAACTAAACATGTCATACGTAATTAATTTTAATTAAACTACCGTATCTATTTTAATAAAAACACATAAAGTAAGTAATTTGTCAATCTATTCAGAAAAACCTACGTTATTACATACGAGATTTTGGCTTTAACAAACATTTCCTCGCCCGAACTACTCAGTTAAATCGAAATTTAATGTATTTTTCGAAATTATGTTTAATTGTTATTTAATAATATAATGTTTTCTATAAACAACAACGTTTAATACATGTAAATTCATTTAATTAGTGAACCATTAATAATGCATCATATATACAATACACTATACACTTGTTCCTAATCATTTATTTGCCTGACACGTTTTACAACAAAACCGCGCGTAACCTATGAAAAACTCTTTAATAAACGAAATTTATCATTTTTACATCTATAAGAACATAAGCAAACGATATAAACACATTTGATATCGATATAAACTGTAACATACATTTTAAATTATATATACTTCGACATCGATTACATTTATTACACTTTAGAAGTCGACCCCCCCCTATAACACTGTTGATTATTCCGTTTTATATGAATTCCATGGTGTACGAGTCACTTAGATTTTACAAATACGTAAGCTGTTCACAGCCCAGTACACATATTTGTAAAATCTAAATGACTCGTACAACATGGAATTTATATAAAACGGAATAATCAACAGTGTTATAGGGGGGTTCGACTGTATATTTCTAAGTTTAACGTACGTGATTGATAACCTGGATCTTTAAAACTCTTATCATATTATTTGTACTTTGTTACTTTGAAGCGACGTTTATCTTATGATCAATTTTAATCGAACGTTCTACATTATAACCAATATAATCAGACACATTCAGCAGTAATGCAAGTATTATATAAATCGCAGGCTTTGCAGTACGTAAGTACACCTATACCTTTAACATTGTTCAGTTGATTTCTATTATTAATATGCTAATTTTGAGTCAGTCGATATTAAATCATTTAAAATTACTAAATTTTAGAAGTACTTTTAAATAAGTAACAAATACGTATATGATTATACATTAATGAAAAGTATTTTTATAATAATGAATATTATTCATAATAGGCAGATTGCGGATCTAGCGGATTTATCATAAAATATTTCGTCTACGCAATTGCAACATTATAATAAAAATCGTATTTAAATACTAGATGTAATTAAGACAGACTTAAATATAACGTGTTGTGTTAAATATCTCACACAGTATTTTCTTCCGCTTTGATTGTTTATGTAAAAGAATGAAGCTTGACGTGGTTAGAAGAGTAGTTTCTGCTACATTATCTCGCATTGGTTACAACGTAGGATGCTATCCACAAATACACGTCGCAATTCTTTTTATATTTTCGCTAGTGTTAGCAACAGGAATATTACGTGTATCATCTACAATGGATGCAGACTATCTTTATGTACCAACCGATGCAAGAAGTAAAGTAGATAGAGCAGCAATCGAATCAACGTTTCCCATAAACACGTCACAATGTGATTACAGAAGATTATCTAGACTGGAAGGATTTTTATTAATACAGGTAACGTCAAAATATGAAACTTCCGTATTAGAAGAATCAATAATTGAAGAGGTCATCGAACTTGACGAAATCATTAGAAATGTCAGTTTTCTATGGAATAACGCATTCGTTCGTTACGAAGATTTATGTTGTAAGGCAGACGGAAGCACTTGCCACGAGAGTTTTGTTTTGTCATTGAAAGGAAAGACGAATGGCATAAAAAAAAGGAATGTACAAGATCAAGTAAGATTTATTCTTATATTATTAAGATAATAACAACTTTTAAATTAATTCTTCGGTAAAAGACAATTACACTTGTCTATAAGTAAATTTTTTAAATTAATGTAATATAGCGATACAATTTCATTTTAATGACTTATATTGAAATATACAATTAAATTTTATTAACTGCACGTAATGTGAATAAGAAAGTCAAGTAAGAAAATCCACGTCTCTAAAATAATATAACTTTTTGTAGATTAAAAATACTTACAAAAGATTCAAACTTAGTAATTAATAGTAAAAACTTTTTATTGGTAATATAATTAAATGAATACCAAAAATAATCATTATAAATGTTTTTAGAAGAAATCCCACTGAGAAACTATGCTTTTTCTATTATCAGACATTACAAAATTACTCGTGTATAAAACTAATATAATATGGGAGTTTGCAAACCTCGTTACATAATTGAGACGGTTAGGATAAAAAGAATAAAGGTTTTCTTAATCATATTCCATCGAACGAAAGATGATCTTGTAATTTACTGCAAGTTCGATAATTGTTATGTCACTTATTGACATAAACAGTTTAATCACAGGTAAATTTTTGGCGAAGTTTTAATGTTCCTGACAGAAACTACAGGCTTCTTAATTTGCTGAAATATTTACTATTAAGTATAAAAAATTTTTATATCATTGAGTTTAGCTTAGTGAGATCACTTAAATTAATTTTAATTTCTAAAAATTCTGTTAAATGGCATAATTTTAAATTTACTTTATTATATTTAAAATGAAAACATTACTTTCTTTTAAAAAAGTAGCCGCATCGTCACGCATTTAAAACAATTATTTTAAAAGTTATGTATGTTATGGACAAAGTGATTAATACGGGCATTATAAATGACCAACAAAATCGGGCATTGTAATAAATTTCAATAATTTATCAAATTGACCGGTCATTATGAATACTGCTACCATCTAGTCGGGCAAAGTGATAATATTATCACTTTGCCCGACT